AATAAGACTAGGAAACAAATCCGCGCGCGTTCCGACCAATAATTTTCACTTTTTTATTTTGGAAAAAATGTAAATTTACTGAAATCAAAAAGATTTTGATAGTTTATTTAGGTTTGGTGATTCGTGTTAGTTAATCCAATGATGTTTTTTGGTTAGCTTCTAATGTTTTAGTTATGCGCATAATGTTTACCGAACACCATATATTCTACTATTTCCTTTCGTTGTTTCATAGTAATTCATAAGCCTCATGCCAATGCCTCTTTTCTCTGATTTCGAGGCATTATATAGAGCTAACAATTACTTGCTGTATTGGTTATTAAATCTATGTTGGAAGGATCATTGCTTCATCAACTTGAATAATATGCTAACCATTACCAATGGCTCCATTAGCAAGATTATTAATTTCATCTCATATCAATACAATTACTTCTCCTTCCACCACTGTTAAAGTCTTAATACAAACAAACTAATACAGATTCTTTAATAACCAGAATATGAAAAACCAAAAATATCGTGAAAAAAATAAGAAAAGAGAAATAATTTATAATACTATAGTAAAAACATGAATGTTAATAAAAATTGGAATTCAGAAATTCTTAAAGCCAAAAAACGTTAAATAATGAAACAGTGGAAAGTAAAACATCTTCCAACTCGTAAAACACCATCTTGGACTAAGTTCCAAGTGACTTGTCCGGCAAGAAAGCGTTAGCTGGTTCCATGGGAATTAACCCCAAATAGGCACCAATGGCTACAATCTTAGAACATTCCGAATGCAGGAGAACTTCCCCACACCACTGTTGGAAGAGAAAAGAGAACTTAACAAAAATCTGAAAAAGTTCTCTTACTCTCGACACGGTTACATCAAGACCATACACACATTTATATACAAAACCAAAAACCAAAAGACATAAGTGAAGAGTTGTGTCTCTTCCTCCTTGTAACTCTAAAACTAACTAACTACCTTTTCTTCTCCGACAAGTCATAACTATTAAACACACATTTCACTTTACATACTCACACAATTATATGTATTATGTTATAATACATTTAAACTCAATTATAAACTAACAACCACAAGGTTTCTGTAAACTGACGGATGACCATCGGTTCGGTACCAAGTCATCTTTGTTATATTCATATAAATTTATTATCCACCACTTACATCGTCCATGTATACCCTCCAATGTATGTCTCGTTTTGTATTGTCTTGTTTCTCCATCGCTCCAATGACTGGTTTTGGTACTGTTGATATTTGAATCAACCTAATCAGCTCATGTATGAAGAGCTTCGGTGTAAGTTTCTAATCTTCCGTAAACTTGATTTCCCTCATTGTACTAACAATTCTTGAAAACCGAAACATGTTAAGAGATATGAATTAAGCATTTTCTTAACAAATGAAGAAAGTCATCTTACCCTTCGTTGATTTTCTAATGAGTCCATCAGTAATTGAATATAACAATGACTGCGTTTCGGTATTGCTTCATGATCATACCGAGTCTCAGTGTCTCTATTCTCTTCCTGTTTCCATCTGAAACTTCTGTTTCTTTGACATGGAACGTGTTTTGCTGAAGTCTATAGAACATTCGAAGTCCTAACAAAATATCAACAAGCCTAAAATGATATTTTTTTTAAAGAAATCTAAGATAGTTATTTTAAATCTGAAACCGTAAAACCTGTTGAACCATAATCATATCTCTAAACCAAAGTCACAGTTACATTTTTCAGTTATTGATCAAAAGACGCAATGCTCTGTTTTTTAGAGTTGTG